ATGGTATGGGGGCTGCGAGGGGATGTTCTGGGGTGAGGGGATAGATGGCATAGGGGACAACGGAGGAGGGGGGTTCGATTCCTTCGTACATGAGCCACACGTCGGCTTAGTCCTGTACTTGTCGGCATACACTGCAGCTGGCGTCGGCATTGTATGTGGGCTCGCATTGGTCGAGCTCGGTAGTGGCTTCCCTGGCCCTATCGTTGACGATGACTGGGGTGTTTGGGCATGTGATGAGGTTAAGGTAACTTCCTTCATCGTCTGAGGAGTCGTCTTGGGCATAGTAGTTGCCCCAGGTCTCTCCTCTTGAGTCCAGCCTTGGAGGGGACCAGCGGTTGTGTGGGCCTGGGAGCTCGTTGTCGCTACTGTCCTCTTCTGTATCGCTGCTTTCCTCATCTGAACTGCTTCCAGTTCCATCTTCAGCCGTTCCTCCTTCTCCCAAATGATATCTAAGCCCTCTTTGATAGAGGCGCTGTCCGTCTGAATCATATCCAGGGTTGGCGGCTGAATTTTCGGTTGAAGTGGGGGAAGGGGCGTTCCAGGGGTCTGTTCCTTCGCTTTCCCCTTCGGTTTCCTCTTCGGTAATGGGAGAGAGAATATGCTGATCCACCCCGGTTTCATAGAGTCCTCGCTCTTCTTCTTCTTCAACGACTGGGCCTCTTTGTGCGGGCCATCCTTCCACCTCGGGCTCATTGGACCCTCCTGAGTCGGAGTCTTCTTCTGTGATCCACTCGTCGTTGTGGATAAAGATGAAGTGGATAATGGGTTCAGGTCTGTCGTCGATGTAGTCGGGAGGGGGTGTGTTCAGTCGTCTAGCCTCCTGGTTGGGGGCTTCGATGGGGATAGTTTCTTTGGAGACTGGCTCCTGGTTTCGTCGGTGTTCGTATCCATATAGGAATGCGAGGTAGGCTATGGCAATAAAGCCTTGTAGTCCGAAGAGGTCGGTGAGGTATTGTTCAACGGGGTTCATTCGTTACTGTTCGTCAACGTGGTTGTTGATGAGGAGTAAGAAAGTCTTGAACTAATTGTTAGCGACCGATTACACAAACAAGATCAAACAACTAAGCGTGACTCGCACTTCGGTCAGGCGCTTTATGTTGTCCACAGGTTTGCGTGCAGGGAGCTATTGCTTAGTTGAGCGAGAGTGAGTTCAGACTAAGATATCGGGTGAATAAACTTTAGTTCGAGACTGAGGTTTAAGACCTGCAGTCGAGCTACTTAAATACAGTTTGGGTCGTGCTAAATATACTACAAGAGTCTGCAACGGTGCGATGAACACACTGAACCCTCATGGTATAATGCGATCAAGTCCGGAAAGTTAGCATAGCAGGATTACGAGAGAGCCGATAAGATATGATAAAGCGCGAAATTGTAATAGTTTCATGATTGCTATGGCCTTGCAGATGGGCTCATCGTACCATGTCAACCATTACGAGGGCAATGACGAAGAAGAATATATTTAGAAAACAATGGGAAGGATTCCTGCAGAGATGACTCCCAGTCGCATAGCAATTCCATTGGGGATGCTTACAAGTCTTCATTGACTAGGATGGGCTTTCGAATGCCTGTGTGGGTGTATATTGCAGTGGCCGACCCCTTCCCTACCTTTGCTACGTTTAAGCCATGCAGGTTTACTCTAACGAGACCTGCACCTAACGTTGCGTCATGAGGAGAAATGTCGAGAGGAAGGGGGAAATGAATAAGAGAGACTGTCATGGTGGTCACGGTGGGCGTGTTCGATCATTGATGAGATGGGGCCCTGTGCACGGAACTTGGAGAAGGTGATGCTTGGATCGGACTCAGTCCCACAGAAGAACATTAATCCTAGCAAAGGATGCATGGAATCCTTCGACTCACATCCCACATTCCTGTCATTTCGAGCGCTCCTCAACGAAGTCATCTTGAAATGGCAGTAGATGCCTGCAATTTTTGGGTCCTTGACGATGCGACACGGATTTTGCAAGGTTGAGGGCTTGAGGTAGCAATAATATTAAAGCCATTTGCATTGATAGTGGTTGTGGGGGGGGTCTGTAAGGCCATGGATTGCAGGATCAACAGGCTGGAGGCTGGCCCGAGCAGTGGAAAGGTAGGCCCCATTACATCTGGCTCTCTCCCACTAAATCCTTCTGGTCAACTTCTGGAGTTCGATAGTCAGAGAAGTATACAAACTACAACAAGACACCTGGGATTTGGATCTGTATATGATTAATGCCGATGAAGCAGATGAAGCATCATGAGATAAGCACTCGTTGGCATTTTATAAAGCGATTATCGGCTGAAGGGTATATTTGGCGGAATCACCAGGCGGATTAGGTCTGCTGGTATCGTTGCTGTTTTGAAAGGCCGGTCCTCTTGTAGAGAGCCGAATCCAAATACAAAAGGTAAAAAATAAGGTTGTGTTTGAGAGACTGGCTGAAATGATGCTTGACGTATTCCGTGCTTGCCATTGGTTGTCATGGATAGCGGTAGCTACTACAGCGAACCATTAGACAGCTTCACCTTAAGATGATAAATACAGCCTACCTTGAATTCTGAACTCATCGCTACTCATTGAGGAAATCTGGTCGGCCTGCTGAGAGGGGAAAGCAAGGATGAAAACTACCCGGAGTGATTTGAAAAGCCAGTGTCTGGGCAATTTGAGGATATCAGTAAGGAAGAGACTATCCCATGGTAGGACAATGATACGGGGATAAGTCTCACGGGACAACCTTATATATTTCCTGGTGACTGACAAAATGAAAGAAGGGACCCATGCGGATCTACAATTCGACCAACCATACCACGTGACCACACGCTGCCTCCTTGTTTCCAGTTGTTTCCTTCCTTCACCATTTATGACATGCTCCTGTGCTGCTTATTGCTAAGAGTGATTTCCATCGCTCGCATGTCGTATCTAATTCATGGATAAATGTATGTATGCTCCTGGCCCTTTTTTCCCGATCCATCCTCGATTGACAACAGCTAGTGACACTTCATGGGCTAGTGCGATTTCTTTTTGCCTTTTTGCCATCAACCTTCCCTTGTTTTGGCAGCAATGGACTCAGGCCGGCTGATTTTGGTTGCCTCCTCTTTCAGCCGTGTCTGCATCCCTCAGTCATCATTACCTTGTCAATGTGACCCTGGCAAGACAACCGAGCTGGAAAAAAGCCTACTGCTGAAGATGTAGTAGGAATTGCTGCATGGGCACAGTATTTATAGTTGGGGCATTGAAAATTTTGTGTCTTTTTCACTCTGTTTCTCGTTCATCGTGCTCACGGAAAAATAAATGTCAGTTAGGATTCACGTTCTCCTTTGCCCAATGGCAGCCAGCTCCAGAGTAAAATGATTATGTGTTGATCATGCGGAGCCCATACAAAAAATACGAGAACAATATGGAAACATGCCATGCCATTGAGCACGATGTACTGGAAGGACACTGCTCGACATGTCAAGGCTTTTTTTCCTCTTTGTTATACGTGGTCTCTTGTTCTTTAAATGGCATACATTGGGTGAGAAGATTAGTGCTCAAACTGATGAACAACTGTAAGTACTTATCTGTCTTCTTCATGTTCATCATGTTCATTTTTTATTTTCTAGTGCTGCATTGCACGTTTGTCCTTTCACGCACGACAGAACTGGATGACATGTAACTGTTAATATAACCCAATATGCGCTTCGACATGGAATCCCAGGATCCTATCACACCTTCACCGAGTGCGCCCCAGAACATTTGCGGAATGTCATACTAGGTGGAGCATTTTTCGGTTTATGCTATTCTATACTCCATATACAGTCCTGCCATTGCCAAGGAAGAACATGCCTTAGGAGCAGATAGAGCCTGTAGGGGCCTGGGGGTGGTCAGTGTTCTGTGAATCCTTATCTGTTTTCTCGCCTTCATCGAACTAATTTTTCTTGGTACCTTTGCTATCCTGGGTAGCCATCTTTTACGGCAGCCGATGGTTTTCTTGAGGCTGGCGTATGTGGCACGTGTACAAGTGTCTTTTGGTTCAGCGATGTTGCTTCCATTTGTATGCCATACAGCGCCAGTTTCAGTGGTACTCTTTCTTTCGATGTGGACTTTACGCAGGTATAATGAACAAGGGACATGAATTTGACCTGAGGGAGAGCCTTTAGGTTCGAGCGGTGGCCATGACGATGGGAGCATAGGCGAGAGCGGACCAAGGTGGATTCGGGCCAGAGCACATGACGGCTTAGGGCAGGTAGACGTGTAGTTTTTCAACCCGTTTTCATAGCTAGGCGTTTCCCTATCGATCCATTCCATCTATCGCGCTCTGCAAGGGGTTCTGACGAGATATACCAGGAACAGTTCTCGTCTAGTACCATGGAGCTACTGTGTCACCCATCTATGGCCTCACTACATTGTCATCGTGGAAAGGATCTCTTGTGCTCGCCAAACGTCCGCTTCCAGGGTGTATTCAGTGGATTTTGGACCATAGAAACTGGCCATGGTGTCTGAATTTCGTACTATGGGGATGGTAGTCTTTATCCGTCTCCCCCTGAAATCATGCTCGTATCTTGGCATGTGCTATGTTGCCGTTGTGACTTCCACCAACAATCATCGTCCTTACTCTTGTTGAAGTCCTATGTGAAGTCTTACAACGCAGCGATGAGCGATGTAAACAAAATTCTTCTTGTGCTGCTCTTCTGACCAGAACAAGGGCAGTTGTGGATATGAGTGGAAGAAGAGCTACTTGTTACACCCAAATTATTGGGTATGTATCATTTTATCGCGCTGAATGCACGTGTTTGATGAGAAGCACAGTCGCAGGTGGGTCTCTTGATGGGTAGAAAAGATTTCAGGGTGTACGCTAGCTGCCAGGGAGCTGATCGCACTGAATCTTATTTCTTAGGCTGGTTTGGTTACAGGAGACCCTTGTACCTAAAGGATGGGTGCATTGTTATTGACTTTTTCTATTACCAGCATCTGACAACTGAACTTAGGCTTCGGTACGATATAGAGCTTTTATTATCCTCATCACTATCCAAATACTCACTCGGCCATGCCCTCATCGCCACTATTTTATCTGTATGCGATATATTTATAGGTTTGTCAAACAGTTTGATAATTTTAATAGTATATTTCATTCTTTGCCAGAAATGACAGAGTACTGCAAAAACCATCAAACAGTAAAGCGCCTGCAGAGCTGTTATGGACCTTATCATGGACAGGGTGAACAGCCCAAAAGCATTGATGAACCCAATCGTCCAGAGTTCAGCTGGCCCGTCAAGTCCGACTTCGTATATCAGGGGTGCCATTCATCATGGACTATTATCCGAGGACCATTTCATTGACACTATCTCCTCATATTCAGGCCCTATCCACACCGCTGCAGAGCCTATTTCCTCTACAGAGTAGATCTTCTTCCCAGACCAAAATTTGACGATGCCCAGAGAATGAGCAACCTGAACGTTAGTTTTGTCCAAGTGATAATGAATCTTCCTGGTAACAGCCGGAGGAGCAATGGTGGGTTCAGATGAACATTATACTCATATCCCAGCACTTCAGCTAGCTTGTACCCTCGGAGTTTTACACAAGGCACTGCCTTATCCTCATCAGCCAGACTGTAGTCCACTCCTAGGAATGGGTTGCGGCCTGTAAGAAAGGTTAGCAATATGTACACATGTCACTCAGATATTCACCTGGCAGCAAAAGTAGCTTTATTTTGACCATCTTTCTCAAGCTATCTGGGCCCATCCTGACAGGATCAAGCTGTAGCAACTCAATGGCCAAGGTAATGGCCAAAGCTGTTTGTTACCCTGGAGCGCTCACCAAAGGTGTGTGAGAGCAACTAGCCTGACTTTGTTCTCTGAAGCGATGCCCAATGATCCTGAGTAACAGCATTCACGATCCTCACTCTCAGTGCAAGCTTCTTCAAGCAGTGCCATAGTCTTAAAATGTTCATTCTGACCTGTAGACCCACCCATGAGCCGAACCCCGCTGCGAATAGATGAGTATCACAAAGTTTCCGAAAAGATCCTAGCAACGAATGATGGGTTTTGTCTGCGACACCAGTCGACATCAGTAAGCATCCCGGTCGTAGACTCCATGATTTCGAGTGCTGGATGAAGCGACGGTGCTCTGTATACCAATAACAGCTGTTTACCGCTTCTTCTGTGCCATGAAGCTTTCCATTGGTCGAGCTCACGACTTCGTATTTCATCTACGGCATCAGAAACATCGAGTTGGTACCGAGATGCTGTGGTCCAGGTATAATGGCTAAGATGAATCCGTATCTAACTAGATGAACTGCTTCTCACCCATAGAAATCATGGCCGAACATGCTTGCCGATCCTAGTATTATCAAGGGGCAGAATAAGAGTCAAGCTGATGTATAGTTGTACTTTCTGCGTTGTTTTCTTTGTGCAGAGAAATGCTTTAACAGATGGACGTTAGTTGTTGAATTTCAATTGGGAGATGGGCCGACGGCCACAGGCTGTCTGGAGTCCGGACCGAGTATCGAGTCTACCAACGTGCTCCAATTGGAATCAGGCAACGGGGAGAAGACTGGAGATAATCAACAAACACTGGATTTGATTCGTTCCGACTTAACATCGAAATATGTATTTGGTGGACTCTTCCAAGCGGTAAGCACATCCATTACGTGAGTTCATGATACTGCACAACAGCATCTGCACTGATGTATATCTTTTGTGAATCGCTGGTCATCTATAATTCAATTAAAAATCCGCTTTAATATAACTTTGGTATTGGAGTTGTATGCTCGTGTCCTACCTTTCATTTATAGCACTTCCGGAAACTTGATACCGGAAAATTGAAACTTGATATCGTCCGCCATTAGAATACTTCTGCGACTTTTGAAGGTATTTTGATGATGTTTCCATTGGATCGTGTACAAGGCCCGAGTGAGACGATTTATTCCCATGCTTTGATTTAAAAAATGTACGAATAATTATAATCAAAATAGGCACGTACATGTTTTTTTAATTTTATTTGGGAGGAGTGGAAAGGAGCAGCGAGCTGAGCTTGCCCCCAAATTCCACATTGGGTTCCACCCACTGGTACATGAAATTTTGTATCATCCTGAAGAGATAATTCTTTGTTTTAATTCAGATACTCTTCATGGTCTCACACGTCATCACAAAAATCTCACGATTCGCCCATAGCAACGGCTGTAAGGAGGAGTCAAAAGGTAAATGCTGTATGTTGATGATAATAACTATGGGACAGGATGTTTCTTTGCCACCTTTTGAGCTGTGCCCATTGGCTCCAATCCAAGAAGGTGAGGGAAAATGTAAATCACAAAAAATGATATTTCAGTGACCTGTATAATGGTGCAAGACATTTCCTCCCTCTCATTGTCCGAGTGCGCTAACCAGAAAAGACCAATGTTACTGCCATCCATTATTTTATCATTCGCTCCTCCAGGAACGGTGCTCTACACGTTGATCCTCATTTTCCTTCCCTGCTATTTTCTGGTGTACCCTCTACTACCACCCATTAAACCCAGCACGGTGCTTGAAACACTCAAGCAGTCCCTCAAGGACACAACCCACCTGTACACTTCCCACATCCATGTGATGAACGATCCTGCCACTTTTCGTATTGCCATAGAGGAGTAAGTACGGTCATCTGTGATCAAATGTTGGCCCACGCTGATAAACATTTAATAGAATCGAACTTTCCACAGCCGGTCTAACCAGAATTTACCTCGATGCATGCCAGAGACTCTCCTTGACGGATCATCATTCTTGGAGTCACTACCTGTCAGATGCAAAGCATGTCTTGTTAAAGGCGCATGAGTACCAGCGAGAAATCGACTGTTTAAAGAAAAGGCTTGAGGTAATGATTTATTCATCCTTGTCACGAATCATCCTCTGACATTCCCTTTTGAAGATGAAAATAATTAAAGAGGAAGAAAGAAAAATCCAACACTCCATCCTGCAGCAGAGAGCTACTCGTGACTGGGATGATGACAATGACCCATTCAACCACCGCTTGTGGTATCACCCGTGCATTGTTTAAAGATCTGTAATTTGTCATGGGTTGTCTGTCTGAATTGACAATGTATCAGTGCCTTAGCCCCAACACTTAAACATGTACCATACCTGCCTCTCGCATATGCTCCTTGATTCTGTATTTCTTTCTCTCTCTACTTGGCCTCTGCTGTTGTATAGTGTTTACCGCTTCTCCAATTATAACGCATCTTTCTTTGCACGCTGCACCACCCTACGCATGTCAGTATCATAAGGTGATGACAAACTGAGGCTTTGTCCAATGTGTCAGTGTATTATCATCGACGTCAGCCTAAGCTGTACTTCATTAGACGATAATAATCTAAAAATGAGGAAAATCTCACTCCCCAACGTCTATGTTCCATGGGGACCGGATCTCGAAATCTATAAGTCCCATTCAATGAAGCACATTAAGTGCATCTGATAAGCAAGACTTCGATGCAGACGTTCTTCTAATCTCCCTAATCTCCCTGAACCAGTTATTACTTGTATGTTATAGAAGCTTGGTGGGTCTTTAGATAGCATTATTGCAGGCGATGGCTGTAAACATGTGCATAAGATGACACTAAAAATTGGCGCATAACTCACTCAGCTGGTGCATATCTATTTCTGGCTTCCATGGCATTGCACGAATACATGGATGAATTAAGCCTTGAAATTAGTAGCGCAGATTTCTGAGACGGTGGATATTGTACTTGGGTATGCTTGCACTGAGATTGCATCGAGAATACACTGACAATGAACACCATAGAAGCCAAAATTCGAGACTAACGGTGACAAAGATAAGGTCCTACGCTTCTTGACCCCGTGCGTCGAGCCTCTTATGATGTCTGAATTGTACCTGCTGGAGGACGTTCAGTGGTGATAACAGATTAGAAGGCACCAAAATGCATGTGCCGAGTCAAGTGAGTGTCCACAAGTGCCCGCCGGCACCGGCGCAGGATAGCCAGACCGTTGTGATATCCGCACGCATATGAACATGCAGAAGGTCAGAATCAATAATTAATGTTGCTGAATATGTGCTATTCCACATCGACCATCCTTCTGGTTAAGGACAAGAAAGTTTGTTCATGCCATACCAACGACCAACGCCTGTAATAGTACACTGAGGTCTTGCCCGGCCTTTGGGACATATATGTTGTCCGTACCAAGCTGGTACCATCACAGTAATTCAAGGTTGCTCCTGGCTTCATCCTGGGAATAATTTGACTATATCTTTCTCATTCAAATCCTTCCTGCAGCTACAGGTCACCATACCAGACCTCAGTTCACGCCACCATTGTCACGATTCTAGTGCTTGCCCGAAGACTCCAGTGTCTGATCACAATGTCCTTGTAATAGTCGACATTAACTCTGGGATCAAGAACCGCATGCCTATGAATTCTGATAAATCTAATAGAGAAAATGAAGTAAAGTAAACGACTTACTTATCCCAAACATGCATATGGATTCTAGAAAGGCATACCGGCCAAGGAAGCTCCTGGCAATGGACACACCGCCAACAGAACTCGTCAGGCTGGATGCTATTCGAGGGACACAACTCCACAGTTTCGAAAGGGATGATCTCGAAATCTTCTGGATAAGTCACGCTGTCTCCAAATGAGATATGCATGCTCATATGTGGAATCTAACGAAGAAGAAAGTTAGAAATGCACCCATCCAAAGCAGAGTACTTACAAATGAGCGCCATCCATACATAGTGTTAGCAACCGATTACACAAACAAGATCAAACAACTAGGCGTGACTCGCACTTTGGTCAGGCGCCTTATGTTGCTCACAGGTTTATGTGCAGGGAGCTATCGCTTAGTTGAGCAAGAGTGAGTTCTGGCTAAGTTATCGGGTGAATAAACTTTAGTTCGAGACTGAGGTTTAAGACCTGCAGTCGAGCTACTTAAATACAGTTTGGGTCATGCTAAATATACTACAAGAGTCTGCAACGGTGCAGTAAACGTACTGAACCCTCATGGTAGGATGCGATCAAGTCCGGAAAGTTAGCATAGCGAGATTATGAGAGAGCCGATAAGATAAGATATAGCGTGAAATCGTAATATTACCCCCCTGTTAAGGCAGTCGTCCCGACTGCGATATCATTGGGTTTAGGCAGATGAGCTCCTATCAGGGATGGTGCATTTGGTTTTATCAGGTAGTCTTGTATTGCCTGTACCAAGGGGTGATCGACTTTGGATTCGGTTACCGACTCTGTTTCTGACCAGGAATCGGTTTCATCTTTGTCTTCCCACCAGTCTGCGGGTGGTTGAGTTATGAACGAGACTTGTTCAAAGTCTTCGATCGCCTCCCTTGCATTGTCCAACTCTTGTTCGTCTACCCAAGAGTTTTCTTCCCTGGGGTATCCCTTCCACTTGATGAGATACTCCGTTCTGGTGCGTCGTCGTCGTCCTCTTCCTACAGTTCATTCCCTTCGGTCTACGATTTCTTCCACTTCATATTGCTCTTGTCCGTCCACAAGGTCCGGTGGTGGAGCCAAGGGTTGTATTTGGATTGGGAACTCCGGCGGGTAGTAGGGCATGAGAAGGCTTTCATTGAAACGGTCATGTATTTTCCACGAAGGGGGGAGGCATAATTTGTACGCTGAAGCGCCGTGTTTGGATAATATTTCAAATGGTCCGACTCGTTTGTCTCCCAGTTTTTTCATTGGTCGAGGGAGATGCAAATTGGTGGAGTCCAACCACACCTTGTCTCCTGGTTGGTATTCCACTGCTGGTCGTTGATGTTTGTCATACTGTCGTTTCATGGTTTCAGCCGCTTTTTCTAAGGCTTTGGCAGTCTGTTCATGTACTTTTTGTATGTCGGCCACAAAGTCCCTAGCTGCTGGATTTGTTCCTTCTTTTATCATGAGCGGCACGAGATGAGGTTTTTGCCCATGATTGATTTCAAAAGGAGAGTACCCTGTGGCAGAGTGCTTCCGATTGTTGTGTTGGAAGGCCACAAGTGGTAGCCATTCACTCCAGTCATTTTGTCGATGATTGATGAAGATCCGGAGATACTTTTCGATCTCTTGATTTGCCCTCTCCGTTTGCCCATCAGTCTGCGGGTGATATGCCATAGATGGGTTCCCTTGTATGTGGAGCATTTTGTACAGTTCTTTCATGAATTTGGACACGAACTGGGGTCCTCTATCGGATATCACTTTTTGTGGCATCCCGTGTTTTGCCCATACATGATCTCTGAGGATTTTGGCCCACCCTGCCGAGGTTAGCTTAGTGGAGCATGGGACTGGAATTACTTCTTTAGAGAAACGATCCATGATCATCAGGATGGCGTTGTATCTGTTGGAGTCTGGCAGTTCCCCTATCATGTCGACCGTGATATGCTCCCATGGTCGGGATGGTACTACGTGAGGATGCAGGGGTGCTCTCTTTCTTTGAGTGCTTGTCTTGGTGTGTTGACAAGCTTTGCATCCCTTCACGTATCGCTCCACGTCCTGTTTGAGTTTCGGCCACCAGTATTCTCTTTGAACAAGCTCCTTGGTCTTTTCGATCCCCGGGTGTCCAGCTGTAATGTGATCGTGGTGTATGGCAATCAGTTCTCCCCGCAACTTGGCGTCTTGAGGGATGTACAGTCGCCCGTCATAATACATTAACCCGTCCTTTTGGGTTATGCCTTTTGGATGGTGAGTGGATGCTTTGATCCCCTTGTCCCATCTAGTGGTGTCCCTAAGCGCCATTCAGATGCGCTTGTGAATTTCCTCCTCTCCTGGCATGATTAATGCTCGGAACATTTCTGGTTTTAGCATTATCACCTCTTGATTATCTTCCCCTTCTTGGTCATGGTCCGCTCTTCTGGACAACAGGTCTGCCTTTTTGTTGGCCATGCCGGGTTTGTGATGTAGGGTGAACTGGTACTCGGCAAGTTCCGTTACCCATCTGGCTTGGCGGCGATTGAGTTTTTGCAGTTTTCGGAAATACTGGAGATTTTGGTGGTCTGTCCAGATTTCGAAATCTTGATATGCTCCCATGAGATAATGCCTCCAGTCTTCTAGGGCCAACATAATGGCTAGGAGCTCCTTGTCGTAGATCTCGTAGTTCCGCTCCGTAACTGTCAAGGCCTTGGACAGGAACGCCACTGGTCTCCATTTTCCTTCTTGTTCCTGTGATAGTACCACCCCTATCGCTCCTTCACTTGCGTCTGCTTCTACGCGGTACTTTCCCGTTCGCATTGGTATGGCTAATACCACTTCTTCCGCTAACTTCTTCTTGATTTCTTGAAATGCGTTTTCTTGCGCGGGCCCCCATGTCCACTCGGTTTTTCTGGTGAGTTGGGTTAGGGGTCGCACGTGTTTGCTATAATCTTGGATGAATCTTTGGTAAAAGTTGGTGAACCCTAGGAACGATTGCAGCTCTCGTTTCTTGGTCGGTTTGGGCCATTCTGTGATTCCTTTGACTTTTACGGGATCCATACGAATTGATCCTTGACTGATGATTACTCCGAGGTATTCGGTCTCTAATACCTCGAATTCGCATTTTTCGGCTTTGAGGAAAAGGTTGTTGGTGCAGAGAATGGTTAACACCTCCCGTACCACATCGCGATGCTTATCCTTGTCCTTGGTGCAGATCAGGATATCGTCCAAGTATACGGTAACGTCTCCTCGTGCGATCTGCTCTTTGAACAAGTCGTTCATCATCCACTGAAAGGTGGCTGGCGAGTTGGTGAGTCCGAAGAACATCACCATTGGTTCGAATAACCCTCGATTGGTTCTGAAGGCGGCCTTCCACTCATCTCCTCCTTTGATGCGCACATTATTGTATCCCCACCTCATGTCTAGCTTCGTGAAGTATTTGGCGTCCTTGAGTTGATCCATCAGTTCTCCGATAAGAGGAAGGGGGTATCGGTTTTTGATGGTCATTTCATTCAACTTTCGGTAATCTTGCACGGGGCGAAGTTTCCCGTCTTTCTTCTTGACAAAGAAGAATGGCGAGGCCATGGGAGATTTAGAAGGTTGAATTCTTCCGGACTCTAAATTCTCGTCCAGGAATTTATCCAACTCCTCT